AGACTCATGCAGAGCCATCTCATCAGAGACTTCACTGCGACTGATACTGAAGTGCTGCTGATTCATAACATCCTGTATTTCTCCTTCTTCACTAAAACTATTGAATCTAACTAAATCTGGTCTAGCATGGTCTCCAGGCAAATTTACAAGCGTGTCTCAATTGTTTGTTTACTTTCAGTTCAAAGTAAAGCTGGGCGTTCATCACCTACACATTTAAACTCATTATAAAATGATCATTAGTACATATTCAGATGGCTCATTTATATGTACTGAAGCTGTAAACATAACTTTAAAAAGAGTACTCCAGTAGGAAGTTGTTGGACTAAAGTTGACTCCATCTATTATACAAGAAACAGGTTTTTAAAAAAATGAATGTAGCAGTTCTTCAAAGATACTATAATCCCTGTTTTTATATTATAATGGTTCAAAGAACTCCCTTAATGTCAAAAGATTGCTAGTAGTGATATTGGAGAGTTATCTCCCAACTAGCTAGTTCCCCTGAGCTCTATGCAGCATTTTAGCATCTTTACACATATTGTTTTTGGTGTTATTGCTTGAAACTTGTCTCACTGGTTGTTTTCTGCAACAGACAGCTCTGTTTCCAGCAAAAATAAAGTCTAAAGAACCCTCTGAACACCAACCGGCAAGCGCCAAACTAGCAACTACAGTTAGCTACAAGAGTTAGCAACTAGAGTTAGCAACTAGAGTTAGCAACTAGAGTTAGCAACTAGAGTTAGCAACTAGAGTTAGCAACTAGAGTTAGCAACTAGAGTTAGCTAGAGTTTAACTAAAACTGAGCTAAAAGACTACATATTTGATTAATATTGACCAGATAGCAGGAAAACACAACTCCAACTAGATGATGAATGATGAAATGTTTTCACAGGCAAAGTAACAATTAAAATCACCACTTTGCAGTATCAGTGCCTTTAAAACCAAACACTTTTTATTGTCACCCTGCAGACTGTTTTGCCTTTCTTGGAAAAGGGCTCTTGGCTGCATTTGTTAATTACTTTCGAACAATGGCTTTCTAGCTACATGTCTTCCTCACAGTTGAGGAGCCTCCATGGGCACTTTTAGAAACGCGCTTGGGCTAGATCCAAAACGCCATTCTCATATTTAAGACCATTAGTGTGAAAGAAATCGTCCTTCAACCAAAAGGATGTGGCATGGAAGGAAGTCCCCTGTCCTCGAAACCAGTAATTATCTACTCTATAGTCAATTCAATTCTCATATTCTTAAAGCTGTAACTTCAAAGCTATATCGTGCACACATCTTTCCCTTTGTGCAGCTTTCCTGTTTAGCAGCAATGTTATGGCTGCCATTTATAGCTGCAATGCCCAATGTTCCCCGTGTCCTGCCTGTTTTCTTGTGTGTGCATTCCTGCTGTTTGCTCCTTCTATTCCAGGTCATATAATTAGAATTTCCCAGGTTTGTTTTTTGTTAAAGTGTTTAAAAGACATTCTCCTAGCTTTTTTCCAAGACGTATGTTTGTTGGTGCCAATGTAAAAAACACAACTGGAACACTTACTTTCCATTTTCCTTACTCTTTGGCAAAAAGGGATAACAATACAAAAGCACTATCCTCTTCCTGTTTTGGTTGTGTAGTTGCATTAATCCATCCAGCCTTAATTTTCCCGGAAAATCGTACCTTTTGAAAGACAGAATTGCATACTGTAGTGAAAGAGCGGCTTATAGAGAACCAATCCCCATAAACAGATTATGCATATGAATGCATAACGTGTAGGCACTGTGACAAGAATTTGGTATCGGAAGTACCACGTTTGACTGGGATTTGGTGAAATTCAGTAAAATGGTTGGTGTGGAGATTAGAAAAGGCAAGCTCAAATTTGTATTGGAATGCTTTGGCTAACGTCTGACAAGAATATCCCTTTTATTATCTTACAACTAGTTTGTCTCCAGTCTTAATTTGCTAATCAGACTTAAGGGGGACACATGAGGAAATCTACGCGGTTCCCATCAGAAATGTAGCCCTTGCCCGGAGAGGCTCTAAAATTAATAAGGAACCAATTTGAAAGTCGATGGTGTCATTATTTTACAGCCTTGACATTTTGCAATCAGCATTTTCCTCATAATGGAAAAGAAAAGGGTCTAATTGCCATGGCTTCTGTTGCCTTCCATGTAATGTCTGTAATAATTGTTATTTTATGCTCTCCCTCCCCTGTTTGCTATTTTCCCAGGCTGTCACGGCTAATGAAAATTCCCTTTAATTGACTTGCTGTTTTCTCTCTCTCACTCTTTGGCAGTCCTTGGTTTCACATTGCGTAAGATGAGCAAACACACACACTGTTTCAGAAACACTCTGAGCAAGTGAAATCAAATGTACTGTACACACACAGAAAGAGAACATTGCTAAACACACACTTATCAACGTCAGATTTAAAATAAAGGTTTGTTACAACATGGCCAAACAGTGTCTGTTTACCAACCATGTTAGTGTGTGTGTGTGTGTGTGGGGGGGGGGCTTTAGTTCAGCCGTAATATTCTGCTTCACTGACACTCAGATTAAATGCTCTATGCTTTTCCATACCATGTAAAAAAAGGGAATTACATATAATGGACATAATGCTCAGAAACAAAGTGCGAAACCGGCTGATATTGCTGAACATGCTGTTATCCCACACAACAGAAATGACATGCATTGGATGAAGAAGAGAAGAGCTACTCTAAGAATGAAGGGCTTTTCTATGTGAACATTTTCCAATGATTACAGCAGCTTTACTGTAAGTACAATTTGGAGGCACTTGTGCTTCATTTCAGCAACGAGGCCATTCAAAGTGCTTTGAATAAAACATCTAAAACTTCGAGACAAAGTGGAAAGAAACACACCTCTGAAGATTTTCAAATACAATTAAAAACAGTCACCAAAAGGCCAAAAATATATGAAATTGAAAACAACTAAAATAGAATAAGACAGGTAAATGAAAAACGTACAGTGCAATGTAAGAAATTATTTATTATTTCAGTTAATTAAAGGCATGGGAAAAAATAGAAAAGTCTGCAGCCTTGATTAAAAAATCCCTAAGACCTGCAGTTTTTCATAAAAACAAGGAGAATAATGACGATAATATTGTAGTTTTTATACCAATTTCAGGTTTACAAAATTCTCTTTTGTGTCAGTACAAATGTCAGTAAGGGATTAACTTTAACAGCCTCCTGCTGTTAATACGCCCTGACATGCCAGAAGCAGATAATCTGTCTGCTGCTGTGAGCGGCGTGTCTGTGGACTGAGTTTTACTGACAGTCTGCCAGAATGATCCCCCGCTGCCCTGTACAAACCACAGGAACTCATTTGGACTCACAGGATTACATAAAACATGCTCTACAGATTAGGTAATTTAAACATACTATTAAACTAACTAATAGAGGTGTACAGGGAAGGAGCAAGACCCTCATTGCATTTCTAGAAAAATATGTATGAATGTACTTATATGTGTGTACAGTATGCATGTGTGCGTATTTATGTATGTATGTGTGTGTGTGTACGTATGTGTGTACAGTATGTATATGTGTGTTTGTGTGTGCGTGTGAATGCATGCGTTATTTATGTGCAAATATGTGTATGTGTGTTGTGTGTATGTGTGTATGTGTATGTGTGTGTGTTTGTGTATGTGCGTGTGTGTGTGTATGTATGTATTGATATCAATGTCTATGTATTTGTATAGTAACATACCATTGTGGCAGTAACCATTTAAAACATTGTAACACCTATAATTACAATAATAGCAGTAACTTTCCTTACTATATACACACTGGATCATTCATGTATAGTTACCAGCATAACATACAAAACAAAAGGCAAATACAAGGCAGACATCTTGTAATGTTCTAATAGCAGTTAGGTGATATACCATCCTGCAGAAAACATGACTTTCAGCTTGTTGTTTGTGACAGAAAACCCCCCCAGAGATTATCTCTTTGGACGGAGCGGGAATTCTCTCCATGTATTTATTGTCCTGAATGGTCTGGAAGCTTCCCTCCACCCACTGCAGCGAGTTGTAATCTCTGCAACATCTGGGCCACTGTTCCACATCAGCCAGCTGGGGGGAAATCAGATCCGACCAGATGAGCTCCAGGGCTTACACACACGTGCACGCACACAAGCATGGTAAATGCAGGATAAGGTGACAAGTTGTAAATGTTGGGTTCAAAAAAGAAAGAGTAAGGCCTGCTGAATATTGTGTCAGAGAAAGGCATGTACATTTACTTTAAAGGGGCCCTATTATGCTAATTTGTTAAGGTTCATAATAGTATTTAGTGTCTCTACTGTGACATGTTAACATGTTTCAATGTTCAAAAAGGTTTTTATTTTTCTCATACTGCCTGTGCTGCATTACCTCTTTTCACCCTCTGTCTGAAACCTAGCCAATAGAAGCGCGAGTGTTACATAGTGATGTCATTATGTTACAGAAGTAAACAAAGGAGTCCAATAGAGGCGTTTCAGGCAGGGGGGGAAGGGTGTGGGAGAGAAACTCCCTCTGGAGGGAACACAGGGGGTGTTTCTCAATCTCGAGTAAAGCTGCTCCAGAGCCACTATTTCAAGCATACTACGTCATCGAGTGCCGCCGAAGTACTGTTCCAATCTCCAGCATACTTGGAAATCTACCGAGCCCGGCGTACTTCGTTAGGAGAAATTTCGAGGCTGCACATGTGTAGACTCCGCGGTCTTAAAATCCCCACAATGCTTTGCGCACGGACCAATTTCCCCAAATCTGTGGCGGAAAATGTAAGGCGGGGCCTCTCATATGACGCACACCTGCACACTTGCTAGCCTGTTCCACTCTTTGTTTTTCGAATGCCAGGAAGTATTCTTGCCTCGCTTCTGAAGCAAGATGCTCGGCAGACATGTGCTACCAAGCAAGCGTACTCGCGATTGAGAAACACCCAGGGATTTTAGCCTTTGCAGACCATTTACATGCACTAAAACTTTTGCTTTTAGTTAAGTAGGATACTTTCACAAGATTTTGAATGTAGGATTTTAATATATATGCAAATTAGTACAAGAAAATAGCGCATCAACTTGAATTAAAGAAAAATCAAGACTTCATTCACATTTTTTCATTTTAATATATCTCTATCATATACATACAGTACAATATGCTCAAGACAGAATTTATGGCACATCCATTTTTGTTGTACATTTTGCAGTCGCTGGTATTGCTGTGAGGCTACAGTAAAGTGACCATTTGAGTCTGTTAGTTCAGTAGATAACGCAGGTGGATCGACCTCAAAGTAATGTTGCTACAGTAAAAACACATGCACTGTCAAGTTATATATTCCACATAGGGGTCACACATCCAGTAACACAGACCGATACTTGGAGGGGCGGTGTTGTTTTGTTATAATAAAACCCCTCGTTGTTGTTTTAGTCTTGGAATATGCTACAACAGTGGCTACCGTGATCCTGGAACGCTACGGGATATACAAGGTTTTCTATCCAGAAGTAATCTGAATTTAAAGAGCTGCCATTACCTATATCCTAATTTATTTTAAATTGTATTTTCAAATACATTTCTATCTGTGGGTTCAATGGAAACCTTGTATAACCAGTAGAAGTGATGGTTAATGGTGTATAAAGGATCTAGTATTCAGGTTTCTACTGAAATACAACGTTACCGTCAATACTACAGGTACAGAGTACTGCTATTCACATATGTACAAACTCTGACGTGTTACTGCGCAGAGACTTGACGAGTGAGTGTGCCTTTTCCTTTCTTCCGAGTCTGTGGAGCAAGTACGAGATAGAAAAATAAAACAGTGATAGACTACAAAATACTGTGTGCCACCATCATTCTTAAGTGCTGCTATCCATTTTTCTCTGTCCTCATTTCAATTAAAAACAGAATTTCAGTCAGAATTAAAAAAAGTGATAAAATGATTGTCTCAAAAAATCATTAAAAAAAATAATATTTAAAAACAAAACCGCATAAAAGTACAACAAAATACGCCATGTAACATGATACTAAAACTCGTCATCTTTCCCTTTGATCAGCTTATCAGAGAGTGATATAGTGTGGATGTGTACATACAGTATATACAAGTGTAAGAGCAGGGATGTGAGCACCTCCAGTATCTATTTCCAGAACTTAATGTCTCTTATTTAAAACATACCAGCAGGTTCAAATGTCCCTTTATTTAGTGTCCCGTATAATCTCCTGAAAGTGCTTCACATGCTCTGCAAACCTCTGAGTCTCCGAATGTGCAAAGTAGGCATTTCTGTTTCATCCCAGTTATCCACCGTTAGTGTTAAATAATAGTAAACAACATGAAATGCAACAAAAGAAACGTGAACTCATGAGCCAGTAGTGACATGTATGAATCAAATGATGGGTTAGTCTATTTGCCAACTCCTAGGGTCCTATTGTGAACCCGGAAATGTCGAGTACCCCAAAGTTTGATATTAGAAATGTTAAGTACGGGTCCCCAGCACATAGAAACTGCCGGATTTGCAAATTTGCACAATTAGCATAAATTGCGTTAATTAGCATTATAGCTTATGTTGACAAAAGTTAAAATATGGCTTGTCCGATTTGGACAATTTTGGAGTGGTTTCGGGGGTTATTGAGGATTCTGAGTCAATTTCTGACACGTTCAGGATAAAATATTGAAGGTTTAACCGGAAAGTGGCCATATTTGTACCCCTGATGGAGTGTTTTGATACATTTTGGGTCGATTTTGAAGTCTTAGGGGATCATCTGTATTGGAGAGATTGCTTATCTATTTAAAGAATATTGTCCACAGTCATTTTCATCTTGTGCTCTCTATATCCAATGGTCGCAAACCTACTCATAGTCAAAATCAGCCCACCGAAATTAAAAACATGGCGACCTATGCTAATTGTGCAAATTGCCCAACATATGCAAGTAAGCATGTGCTGGGGAACCGTACTTCACATTTCTAACATAACTCTTTGCGGTACTAAACATTTCCAGGTTCACAGTGCTGGCAACTAGACTAAGTGTGGAGGTGCAGCAGATCTAGATGACCTGGCAGCAGCTGTGGGGGGTGGGGGTGCACAGCAGACCCTCCTTGGGGCCCCGGTGGATGTTGACGGACAGAGTCTTGTCGCTCAGAGGCCTCTGCAGCACGCGGTTCTTCATGTTCCTGTGGTTCTCCCTGGCCAGGTCCAGCTCCCCCAGCCTCAGAGTGCCCGAGTGGGGGCCGTCCAGCAGAGGGTCCCCCAGCGGGTCCCCCAGCGCGGGCTGCTGGTGGTACAGGTTCCCCCTGGGGGAGGGGCCGCCCAGGAGCGAGACTTTATCAAGGCTGCCGGTGGAGCCGCCCATGCACATCCTCCACATTGGGCGGTCCTGTGTGTCCCCAGCAACAACAACCCCCCCCGCCTTCCCCGCCCCCCCCTCCTCCCCCCGTCAGGTTGTGGAACTGAGAGCTCAGACACAGGCTCATCAGCTTCAAGCTCTCCACCAGACCGCTGGCTGCTTTGGCCTTGCCTTGACCCGACAGGGACCCAGGACTGGCGCAGTTTGAGGGACTGGACTCCCGGTTCTCCCCCCCCTCTTTGCTCTCCTCCCTCTCGCCCCCGTCTCCATCTACAGACATCGTATCCAGTTCATGGTGACTCTCTGTCTCGTCGTCACTAGTCTCGGCGCTGGGGGTGAAAACAGCGACCGGTGCTCTTAGTGTTACCGTTTTCGGCGATGATATGAGCGTGGTCGGGGACGGTGGTCTAGGGTTCAGATTGAGACTGAGGCTGGGTTTGGGCGGGCCGAATCCATGCAGCTCCCTCCCCTCCTGCTGCTCTTCCTCCTCTTTATCCTCCTCGTGGATCTGGTTGAGAACAGGGGCGCTCATTCGGGATGTCAGCCGATTACCAGAAGAAGACGAGGGAGCTTTAGCACGAAGAACCACCTGAGCAGGTAGGGAAGAAGGTTTGTCGTCCTCTTCCTCGTCCTCCTCCACGCTGAAAAGACTGGGACTGCGAGTTTTGCCAGGGCCCACTGAGGTCAGAGATCCCAGCCTGAGGGGGTTGATGTGGGGCTTCACCGGAAGCCTGGGCCCCCTCTCCTGGGTCTGGCCGAATGCTGGCCGCTGGCCGAGGTCCAGCAGGGCTGTTTTGGGCCGGGGGCCTCTGTGGAGGCTCTCAGCGCTGCGGGCAGGGGACTGTGGCCCCCCGGGGAGAGAGATAGTTGGACCCCCCAAGCCATCGCTGACATCCTGGTGAACATCCACTCTGGTGGGCCAGGACTGCCTGTGATGGGTTGAACACACAAGGTTTAGTAAGTTAAACTGAAAAACATGTTTATATATTTGAGTCGTTAATAAATGCTGACAGAAAAACACCAAGGAATATTTGGAAATGATGTGTATTACATTTTCTAGATTTCTAGATGAGTTCCTTAGCTATCTGGTTAGCTTTAATCCTGCAGCCACTTTGTTTCTATGAATAACAATAACAAGATGTCTAGCTTATAATCCTAAAGAGCTAACCTATTTTATAAAAATTCTTCTTCAATCTTGTTAATAAGGACAGTAGGAGCTGTTTCTCCTTTTATTTCAAGATATTTTTTGGCAGTACATGCCGGGCAATATTGCTGATCTGCAAATTCTCATCTATTCTCAGTCCGTTCTCTATTCTCTGCTGAATGAAAAAGGCTTTGTCTGTCCATCTGCTGTCAAACTGACAGTACACGAACAATGCAAAGGCAGCACTCTGTCCATGTGTGTGTGTGTGTGTGTGTGTGTGTGTGTGTGTGTGTGTGTGTGTGTGTGTGTGTGTGTGTGTGTGTGTGTGTGTGTGTGTGTGTGTGTGTGTGTGTGTGTGTGTGTGTGTGTGTGTGTGTGTGTGTGTGTGTGTGTGTGTGTGTGTGTGTGTGTGTGTGTGTGTGTGTGTGTGTGTGTGTGTGTGTGTGTGTGTGTGTGTGTGTGTGTACCTGAACTGGGCCTTGCTGGGGCTGGGGGAGCGTGTCTGGTTATGCTGATCCTTCTCCTGCTTGTCCCTCAGCATCTTCTCAGCCAGCAGGAAGTAGGTAGCTGTGATGTGGTTGTACTGATTCGACTCCAGAGCCCTGAGAAGGAGAAGGACATAGAGAGGGGAAATCAATTTGAGAAAACACACCGAGACACACAACATGAACTCTGATCAGCACATAAATCCCTGAATAAAAGGAGTGACGGGGGGAGAGATTCAAATAGACATGGCAACATCTCAGGAGTGACAGCTGCTTGTTAATGGCAATTATAACTGTCAAAGCACTCAATAATCTCTGTGCACCGTGGCGAGTGTTTGAGATAACACAGGAGAGAATAGCTGCATGATCATTTATGAGCAGTGTTGCAAACTACAAAGTTACAGTAATCTGATTACATTTGTGTATAACGCAGTAATGTAATGCGTTACTGTTGGTTCAGTAATTACATGACAGTTACTGAGCATGAAATTATGTAGCTACTTTAAGGTCTTCGACTATCTGCATAATGGGAGGACTTGGACATTACGCAATGGAAACTGAGCTCAAAAAAACATGGCTGATGTTCAAATGAAGAGGGCAGAATTGTCCTTATTAGATTAAGGATTTGTGTTGATCTTAAATGAGGTTTAACTTTATGTTGCTCTCAGGGGATGTTACAGAGTAGTCCAAAATGAATGTAACGAGTAGTGTAACTAAGGCATTGTTTATGAGTGTGTGTGAGATAGAGACATACTCGGTGATGGTGTCTCTGTCTGCGATGGCCCCCAGCACCATGCGCTGGATGATGGAGCCGTGCTCCTCCTCCGACAGGCTGCGGTGGGACACCAGAGGCGTGGACAGCTTGGTCGCCGGGGAGGGGTCGACTCCTTGAAGCCACTCGTGGGCCCCGATCTCCTCTAGGGTCGCTCTCTTCGTGGGTTCCCTCTGCAGCATACGGGCTATAAGGCTGGAGGAGACACAGAGGGGGAACGTTATTATGCAATCAAAACGGCTCGTCAATGAAATGTGTTTACATACGTACTCATATTACTAAATCTGGCACATTTACATGATGGACTTGAGTGCTCATGTTATTAAAGCGAACTGTCCCTGAAATATATAAAAACAAATACAGAACGAAAATTACCATTTTATATGGGAACATTATGTCCATTATTTGCCATTTGCACAGTTTAAAAAAAGTATATTTATTGAAGGATGTATGCAAATCATACAACTACAAGGGCTGCACATTTTATGTAAATTATATCAAAAATGTGGACTAATGCAATATCCAAAATCACAGTTAGTGCAATATATAGGGCATACATTTCACACAAGAGGGCCGTAGTAGAAGATTGAGGTGTTTGGATGTCTTTGCCACTTTCTGTCTATTTTCGAGAACAATTGTATACTAAAAAGTTAAATGATAGTGTTAATAACAACAAAAACGTGAATAAAAACCATGGAAATTTAATATTATGGTGATGAAATTATGAAATAAGGTTTTATAGGGGAAATTTTATGTTCATTTTGAAGTTTGTTCTTGTATTTTGGGCTACACATGTACTTGTTTCCATGCTTAAATGTTTAAAAAACATATTGTTTTTCTCATATTGTCTGTCTGGAAACTGCACGGCATACCATACCTCTCTGCTCTGCTTCCTGCCTGCCTCTTCATAATTAACTGTCCAAAGGCTAAATGCTGTAAAAAATAGATTTTCAGTGCCTTCTGCCTCCAAGAAGAGCGATGATGCCCTTTTTTCTATAATGTAATTTTGGTTTAAGTGATCAATAACTCTGCTGGCGTGACAAATGGTAAAATGCAGGGATATTTCACAGTGTCAGTAGGAGTCGACCTCTGTGGCTGATATCCAAGAGCCATGTTATCAGTGTTTGCCTTTAAACCCATCAGTCAAACCCTAACCTGGCCGAATCCAGGTTACTCCTGTAAACAAGCTTTCTACATTTACTGTGTGATTTTGCAGAGCTAACCTTTCTGTCTAAATCACTCTCACAAAACAGGAAGATGTGCTACTTCCTATGTTATTTCCAGATCAACCAAACAACAAAGGAATCGTGATGTGTGCCAATATTTCAAGTCATGTCCAAAAACATTGTGAGTGTTCTCGAAGCTACAGTCATTCAAAACGTGTTCTATTTTGCCCTTCTCTGCTTTGACGCATCGCTAAACCCTCGCAATGTTAAAAATAGAGGGCCGATTTTAAAGGGTGCATTAGATACACTTAACGCAGCGCTGCATCTCTGCTGGAGCAGCTGACTGCAGCAGAGAGGCAGAAGCAGGACGAGGAAGAGAACAGAGGCCTCTCTTTCTCTTCACACGTCTATAAACATGAAAAATGCAGCACCTGCAGAGTACTCGGTGCTTCTGTGTGCACGTGCGTGGTACTCACTCTTTGCATGCATGGGAGATGTGTGGAGGCACGGTGTATTTGCAGTCCATGATCATGGTGAGCGTCTCGCTGTCGTTAGTCTCCTGGAAGGGGGGCTGACCGCAGACCAGCATGAACAGGATCACCCCCAGACTCCAGATATCTGCAAGGACACGCAGGGAATAATGTATGATCACACCAAAGAGAGTTGTGCACACAGTATTACAACTAAGTGTGGATTTGAAGCAGTGGTGTAAAGCAACTAAGTAGATTTAGTACTGTACCTAAGTAAAATGTTGAAGCACTTTGTACTTAATTTAACTCCACTACATGTATGTAATACCTTTAGCTACTTTACAGATTTGGATTAATGATGTGAAATGTAATCAACACTTAAATCAGACTTTAGTTCCACCTGGAGTAAATTCACAATCTACCCTGCCTGCAGTATACAAAGTCATTCAAACTAGCTCCACCTTTACCAGCTTTGATAACACTTTAATGATCAATCATTATAATCAAACCATATAATTTATATTATTCTGAAATGGACCAATCTGCAGAATGAGTAATGTTTTGATGCTAATGCTTTTGTACTTTTACTTGAGTAACATTTTGAATGCGGGACTTTTACTTGTAACAGAGTATTCCTACACTCTGGTACTTCTACTTTTACTCAAGTACAGGATCTGAGTACTTCTACCAAATTGGATTTTTAAGGAAGATGGACTTGGAAACAAACAGAAAATAAGGAAGACAGACCTGAAGCGTGTTCTGCTTACTGACCTAGATAAATAATCTAGACAGATACATTAAATGAAGCATGAATCATATTCGATCAGAGACATTTCTATAAATATGTCGTGGCTTTGGACACATCTGTCTAACCATGGGTGAGTCTCATCCTGCTCACACACAAACACACACACACATACGCCTGCATGCTCCCCCACACCAACACACAGTCCCAGGGAAGTGGGTTAACTTGTTCATCCCCTTCATGTAAATGCTCATTTCATGCAGCAGTTCTCTTGGTCTAATGATCCGTTTTTAAAGCAAAACCTTTTCGCTCCGGTGCGTTCGATGGCTCTCTGGACAGCGCAATGGTCCACTGACACACATTCTGCAGTCACACCGACTCAGGCAGAGAGACCGTGACAAACAGCCTGCAGTATGTTGAGCCCCGAGGATTACTTTTATTCTTTAATATTACAATGCCGTACTGAAGTTTTTTTGTTAGAATAAGCTTCTCTGTATGAAAGTAACAAGAACCCGGTATTTGTCATTATGTTGAAAACCAATTTTCATTATTACAAACAGAATAGTTATAAAGAAAATACTTTATATATTTATGATAATATAATCTACCTGGCTTTTGTTATGATCCTTGTAAACTGTATTTCTAGCTATCATCTGTAATGTTATTTTTAATTTATTTGCTTAAGATTTTAAGATGATGTACTTAAAAAAACTGGGTTGAGGATTTTGGGCTTTACGTTAACCCACTGCAATTAAGCAGTTATCCTTCTTTGTGCTATGCAGGTAATTTACAATCTCTTCATCATTTTACAGGTTGTGTTTATTTATTTTTTAACCACTTTGGGGCAGTAAAAAAAGCTGTAAACGTAACATCGTGTTTCTGTTCAGCTAGTTGCTAATTTTGAGGAGGAAGTGTGTGGATGAATTATCAGGGTTTTTTATACAACCAGCTGATAGGCTAAGGGGCGGGACATCTCTAAAGTGTTGACCAATCACCAGTTTAAGTGCTAATCTTTGAATGTGCCTATTGCTGAAGCTACTTGCACTACGCTTTGCTCAGATCACTATTTGATCAAACCAACTGAGTGACTTTTCTCTTAAAGATTTCCTGCTGATTAAGCTTTTCTCTGCATTGCTGCTAAGGCCGAATGTCAGTTCTTCCTCTGAATATTAATACTAACAAAATACTTTTTCTCTGAAGCCACAACAACAGAACCTTGAGCAGACCCTTTGCTCATGTCACCTGCATCAGATGGATATTTTAAAGACTTATTCTGCAGAAGAAATGTGGGTAAACTAAGTGGGTTTATCCCCCCTGACATTGATGATACGTCTTCACATCACTGCAGTTTGCCAGGTTACGCTTGAGATTTCCATCAGGTGGACTAAATGTGCCTGTTGACTGTAAGCGGGGAGTATTTACTGCTCAGAGGCTGTGAGCAGCGTCCTGCTGATGGAGGGAGTCAACGCTGCTGCGGTCGCCACCACCATCTTACCCCTAGCCAAGGTATCCTAGCAACCGTCACCCTGTTCCATCATTACTTGCGTCAGCAGTGGTTGGACCAACTTCCTTCCCGGATAACTTTATTTATAAACCAGATGGCCGACACATCTCTGGATAACACCTTTTTGCGTCATTGGCCATTAGCATCACTTGAGGAAACGACGCCGTCTACTTATTGGCGACAGCTCGGAGTGTAAACATCCCATAATACTGCCCGCGTTGCATTTGGACACCAGTTTCCTTCCTGAGATAACCAAGAAGCACTTGGGACACGGTTCACCCCGACGCGGAGTTAAGCATCCTGTCCTGCTGATCATTATGCAACATCTTCTTCTACAAAATCGTCCTAACTGTGAATGATTGTTATGCACAGATATGCTCTAAATGATGCATAGGCCCAGGATATGTACTTTGTAATTGCTATTAGGAAAGTGTTTTTTATTTGGAAGTGCAGCTGGTGCTTCTTGGAGATTAAGCAAATATCTATATTTAACTTTCCATTAACTGGAGACAAAAGGAGAGAGCCCACCCGTTGCATAACATCAGAAAGAGGCATCTTTTCATAGCACTTATGAGTCCATTATCAGCTCAAGAGACACACGGCTGCATTGTGATAAACCTGTGATTTCCCTCAAATGTTATGCAGAAGAATAAAGTTCACCTGCTTTTGTTTACTTATTTCTCCCACCTTGAGAACTAAGACAATATTATCCTTTTCATTATTATTTTTGACATTTTAGAGCCCAAACAAGTCATGGGAAAGAAAACAAAACATTGATTGATATAAACAAATTATAATAAAGACCGTTATGTTATAATTAAGCATGTAACAGAAGGATTGTGTGCTGTTAAAAGCACTTGTCAAGCGCCTTTTCTCAGCTCTTTTTGGAGTTTGCTACCGCTAATTGGCTCCTTCTGTGGGACTGACGGCTGGTGCTAACGTTTAATCCTCTCTATTTTGGATCACTTTTCATCTCAAATTATTTTCAGCGCTTCCTCAAAAGGGCCACAACTCATCGGCTTGAGAGCGGGCCGGGCGGGGACAGCCTCTTTATCTCTGCAACAAACGGGGCCGGCGGCCACATGGCTCGCCTCCAGCACAACTCAGCACCCTGCGACTGTCAGCAGGTACTTAGGCAGCGATGTAATCCCAGGCCGGGTCGCCTCAAAGCCACCAAAGTCAGGACTTCTGGCCCCCGTTCAGCCTGTTCCATTTAAACCTGCACCGCTGATAGAATCGCATAATATTACATCCTGGCTGGGTGGGTAATCCCCGCAATCAAAACATCATCATCTCAGCTGAATGAACAAAAGGCAGTATGAACACACTCAAAAACACACACACACACACACACACGCACACAGACCACATGTCCACATCTGATTTATCATCTGGGTCAAGTGCTCAGACAACCTATTACAGAACAGCTGACTGCACATATCCAGCTACTCACATCCAAAAACACCACTGGTGGAAGAAGTACTGACTTAAGTAAAAGTAGCAATACTTCATTGTAAAAATACTCTGTTACAAGTCCTGCACTCAAAATGAAAGTAGTGAAAGTACAAATGTATTGGCATCAAAATATATACTTCAAGCACAAAATGTAAAAGCACTATTTTTACATATTATTATTAATGCATTAATGTTGCTGTTGCACTTGGTAAAGGTGGCGATTATATCAATAGCTTAACCTATAATAATACATAATGATTTACTAGTTGATTTATATTTGTAAAATAAATGTAGTGGAGTAAAAACTAAAAATATACTTCCAAAATGTAATAAAGTAAAAGTATAAAGTAGCATAATGTCAAAATACTCAAATTAAGTACAAGTACCTCAACATTGTACTTAAGTACAATACTTGAGTAAATGTACATAGTTACATTCTGCCACTGAAACACACACACTATTATAATAACTATTACTACTGCACTTCCAATATTTGGGAGCAGCATATCTGCAGACAGAAGAACATTTCCACTGCGAATCCACTCGGTCAGAAAAATAGAAAGTGTTTGTGACGCAGTGGCTTCTGGGTAGACACACGGAGGTAATTCTGATGCATTTTCTCACTTGTTTCCTGTAGTTTCTCTCCCTGTCTTTCTGAAGCTTCTCCCTCCCCCGAATCTTCACGCCTCTGTTTCATTTCTTTTCCATTACATTTTGATTGAATATCTGAGCTGTGGCTCAGTGTGGATTGGTACCACTATCGATGGGAGAGACAGAGGGCTGCTGGTGAGGCTGCTTCAGAGTGCTGAGGAAACCAATTTCGCCCTTATCTGATTTCAGATTTTGTTATTCACAGAAAGGCCATGACTGTCAATGAAGGTAAACCACAGACACAAAATAAACTGCAGGTGTAGGGCGGTAGTTCTGTGGGTTCAATTATCGTCTTATGTAAAAGCTGCATGGCAGACTAACACAATCTGAACTTTGAGCAGTTCTCCTCCCTCTGATAAAGCTTCGATGGCGTCTGCACGGTCCATCCAAAGTCCTGCAGTCTGCACATTACGGTCAAAGTGTATTCAGAGCTATGAGTAGATTGTACCGGCAGAGCGAGTGTGTGAATGTGAAAGCATCAGTTCACCAGGATATGAACTACAGGACAGCGTGCACCATGTCCTGCTGCTGGGAACACACACATCGGACTTTGGACTTTTACAGTAAAAGCTGTATTACATTACATGGTGCAATCAACCATGAGGATACAAAATCAGAACAGCAAGAATCCTGCAAGTACATTAGCTTCAAATAAGCCAAACCATGTTAATGAACCTTTTTACAGTCAAAAGGTTTGGTCAGAACAGGTGGGTTTTTTATACCATGGTAGAAAATGTAGACTTTCTGCAGTCCTGATTACAATGGTAAGCTCAATCCACCATTTTGGAGGTCAGTAGGTCAGCTCTTTTGACTTACCCACAGCAGGAGCGTCGTACTCGTCCCCCAGCAGTATCTCAGGCGCAGAGTAGGCCAGCGAGCCGCAGGAGGTGTTGAGCGTCTTCCCGGGCTGAAACCGGTTGCTGAAGCCGAAGTCCGTGAGCTTGACGACGCCCAGCTTCTCGAAGAACACCACGTTCTCCGGCTTCAGGTCCCTGTGCACCACGTGCAGCCGGTGGCAGTAGGAGATGGCGTGGACAATTTGGGCGAAGTAACACTTGGCCACCTTGGAGAGGAAAGACATGAATGGTAGTTAATGAAAGTAATGTATCTTGGTGATAACAAGACGGACAACTCTTTAGGTTATTTAGATTCTCTAATCCATCTTAATTACATTATAAGCTTGTGAGATAAATATCAAGAGATACTGCAAACGGAATAATGCTAAATAACAACGACCTTTAGCAATGCAAGTAGACACCTTAAGGCGGTATTTAAACATTTCAAGAAGTACGCATACTTGCTTTATTTCTGAGATATGAAAAGGTTGAAACCAGGTTAGCAACAACCCCACAACCACCCTTCTTTCTTCATGTTTTACTCTAAGCTACGCTAGCTCTTCTGCCTTTAACTCCGTATTTAACAGAGCAATATACCTCTGTGCACGAAGGCAAATAAGCATACGTCCTTACATGTTTACTTCCTTTAAATTCAAAACAAAAACAGGACAACATTTCTAATTTCTCAACAGATTCTCCAGGGAAAACATTCACAACATCTGACAAAACATGCCAACCTTTGTTTCAACAAATGTTACTACAAAACTGACTTTAAAGGTGGGGTAGGTAAGTTTGAGAAACCGGTTCGAGATCGCTAGAATTTGAAAATACACAACCGGAGAAAATCTGCCACTTCCTTACAGAGCCCCTCCTCCAACACACACGAACGCGCACATGACCAATGAGGGCACAAGATAAGTTTGTGCCCCGATGGAAGGCTGACAGGCAGGTAGGCCATCCAGTTATTTTAGCCGGGCCGGCTAAAATGATTGGTCGTGCTTTTTACAGTACTACGGCTTCCACAGATGACATTTTTTTTATGGATTTTTTGTCAAAGCACTTAAGATATTCATTGCTATCGGGATGTTAAGAGCATTCCATGGAATATAACAAAAAGTGTATCTCGAGCCGGTTTCTCAAACTTACCTACCCCACCTTTAACTTACTCATTGGCTCTCACCATGTACCAGTGAGCGTGCATACAAACGTTTTGGGGGTTTTCACTTTTCTATAGTGTGTTATATAGGTTGTTGTGCATGTAAATGATCTGCAAAGGCTAAAATCCCAAAGTTCCCACACACTCCCACCTGGGGGGCGGGACATCTCTAAGAGGTTGACCAATCACAACAGAGCCTGCCAGCTAACCAATCAGAGCAGACTGGGCTCTGGTTTCAGACAAAGAGTGAAAAGAGGTGCTGTGCACAGGAAGTATGAGAAAAATAAAGAGCTTTTTGAACATTAAAGCATGGAGACATGTCACAGTAGAGGCACTAAATACAAATATGAACCTGAAAATGAGCATGATAGGTCGCCTTTAATGAAAAGCCACTGTTAACCATGCAGTTTGAGAGCTTCTCAGCCCTTTTCCCTGCTTAACTTGCAATGTCGCAGCTTTCAATGTCACACACTTGCCTCCTGGTGTCGGGAATTGATTAACTTTAAAGAATCGGTATGCGCAATGAATTGGTGATTTCCTAACTACCTTTGAAGTGTCCTTCCCTGCATTCCAACAAAGTAGTCTTAACTTAAATAAAAAAAATACATTTAAATTCTGTTCCCTAGATATGTTTTACTTCAGTGATTCTCATCCATTCAAAGGAGAATGAATATGAATATGATCCATTATATATCTACTTTATCTTGTTTTATAGTAACACAGAGGGCCCTTCTGCAGGTAGGGTTAACCTTCCTCTGCCAGCAGAAAGCCTTAAGTCCAAAATCCCACTCACCTCCTCAGTGAGGCCTCCTTCGTGCTTCATGATGCAGTCGTACATGTCTCCTCCGTCTCCCAGCTCCAGGATGAGGTAGAGCTTGGTTGCCGTGTCGATGACCTCGTAGAGGCGCACCACGTTGGGGTGCTGCACCATCTTCATGCAGCGCACCTCCTGGAAAAGATGTGCCCGCGCCACCGGGTCCAGCTTAGTCTTATCTATCACCTTCACTGCAACCTGGAAGACAAAGAAAATGAGAAAACTGAACAACTGATAGACATCTGAGCCAATCTACAACCATCACAAGCAGAGATTGCATACTGGACTGACGTGGAGTGCCTTAAACCCTTTTTAAACCCATGCATACAAATACTTTATTCTCAAAAAGACAAGAGGTGATTTATGCCAGACTTGAGCTAATATCTTATTTCAATCTGCAGGCCCTGGGAAGGTACACTTATATATTGTGATTATTTTACATGTATACGATATATATTACCTATTCCTGCATGTACTTGCAGCATTATGTCTACTGCACTCTTTTATCGTAAGGCTTGGCGATATGAAGTGGGTAAAAGCAAAATAATTGAAAAGCTGCAAGTCTGTCAAACTGTAATTCATACTTTTAAACCAGGGAAAGAAACAGCTTACAATATGAAAAAGACAATATCTAGTCTCTATCTCTCTTTTGTGAAATGTATCTTGAAATCCACTTAATATCAATATACTACCTAGCCCAATTATGTCAAACAATTTAATCTTTCTTTGTATTTATCTTTCTATTGCTTCGTTTTTTGTGTGTTAAGTATATTGTATAATGCATTGTTGAAGGTGCCTGAGACTTTGCATTTCAGATTTTCATTGCCAACAATTACGCTGTAGCTATTGTGCACATGACAATAAAGCATTTGAATCTCTGAATGATTATCAAACAGTAACATGACAAGTATTTAGGGTTAAGTAAGGCGGCAATGCCTTGGGAAGGAAAGAACATGATGTGTCGCTTAAGCATTCACAAAAGCCAAGATCAACACAATATGTTGGCAAATCACTTCACTCATCACACTTGAGAGCCCACGATACTCAATTCTCAGAAGTGTTACCAGTCACCCTTGTGCTGTTTATAAGGGTGAGGCTACCTGTAGCTATTTAACGCTGAGGAATTTCAATACAAGCATCGCACTTGCATGTGCAGACAAGCCTACCTTTTCCCCTGTGAATACATGTCGGGCCAGTTTCACTACGGCAAAGTGTCCACGGCCCAGCGTCTTATCCAGGTCATACAGCCCGGCGACCTTCCCATCGTGATGACGTTTGAGCCCCGCCATGGACACTGGTGGACAGGGGGGGGGGTTGGCCTTCTGTTGCCTGGTGGTTTCCGGTCAGTTCTCCATTTCCTCCTGAGTAGGTTCAAGTCAGACAGTGAGATCTGTTGGAGGCTCCTAGACGTGGACTTTCAAAGGTAACTTCAAAGCTTTGACGATAAGAGGTTCTGCTGGATGGTAGCAGCAAAAATTCAGAGTTTTGTCGAGCTCAATTCTTTCCAATCCTTTTGGTATCTGAAGGTGAAAATGAAACAGAAGAGACAGAGAATAAAAACTCACCCCTCTATATAGAAAATATGACACCAATTAACCTGTAAAATGAACTGAGTCACCGCTTTGGAGGAAATACTGCTGAACACTGAGTCATGAACCTTGGCATGTTAGTGTGTCATGTAGCAATTAAATCAGTCGTTATAATGGAATCCAATACTTCCTATAATCCTATTAGGTGGCGCACTATTAAGAATTCCTATTCATTAAAAATGAAGCAAAAATACTACAGCCATGCTTGCAGCTCTTTAGCGCTTTGAGCAAAATGCTAACATGCTACCGTGCTCACACAAGGACATTGTTAACATGCTGATGTAAAGCAGATCAAATGTTCACCATATATGGTTTTCTGTCAAACATTTATTTATTATCAGAACTATACAAATGTACAGCTGGTGGGCCTGTTTTGCTGGCAGTTGATCACAAACCTTAAGTGTACAACCGAACATATGGCAGAAATCTTTATATGTACTGATGATTTATTATTCTATATACTGTAGGTATTGGGAGAACCACTGCTAATGTATACATATTTTTATAGTGTTGATGAGACATGTTGTTATTATACACTTATCCTATCCCTTACCAGGTGTTAGTTCTGACAAAGTAAATGACCATAAAAGTAGGGGGTACAATTTGGCCTTCAAATAATCCTTTTAGCAATTTTTGATAAATCAGTAGTTATTTCAATTATCCATTAGTAGAAAACAATCAGTTCTTATAACCAAAAGGAAACATTTGTATATGTTTTGTCCGACCAAAAGTCCAAATATATCCGATAAACAATGATATCAAGCAGAAAATCCAGTCGACTCCAAATGAGTACCTGGAACCAGCAAATATTTATATTCTTTCTTGATTACATCTCTAAAGCGGCTCTATAAAAAAAGCATTATAGGGCCTCTTTAAGTGATACAATGAAGAATCCTATTCTGTTAAAGTATTTATCAATTACTATTTTCTCAACTCTAGTTAATATATTGCATCATCGTTCTCCGGTTCTCTGTGTATTTAGATTGTTGTAATGTTGCGTCACGTCACGTCTAACCGTCTGCTTTTGTTCATCACACACCAGGGTTGTCATTCAGTGTGATGCTTGTCAACCCTAATTATGAAACAACGCCCCCGGGGCAGCCATAGCATTCCTCTTCTAGGAGTCTACCTGCGTGCCAAGATCTAAATGTACAAGTGAAGAACATTCCTGGGAGGTGATACCTCGCCAAGGAGTGTCCTTCTCACCTGGATTCACAGAGACAACTGGAAACCAAACAAAGGTTGCCTGGAAACATGCCTACCAGCGTAACCGAGATGAAAAAAGAAAAATGTCTCCACTGGCAGTTTGTGGCTGCTCAAATGAAACGTTGAAAGCCTAAAAAGCTCTTTGGGGGGTTTTATGTGATCCTCAGTTTGTACCTGTGAGAAAAGAGTGAGTCATTTTCTTATAATAGGAGGCTGACAACTCCGTCTGTCTCTGCTCTGAGTCTCTCTCTCTCTCACACACAGTCACAAAGTATAATCTCAATTCTTCTCAACTCGTCGCCTGACACTGACAATGTGTAAGTGTTGATGTTAGAAACACACACACACACACACACACACACACACACACACACACACACACACACACACACACACACACACACACACACACACACACACACACACACACACACACACACACACACACACACACACAACACACACACACACACACACAACACACACACACACACACACACACACACACACACACACACACACACACCACACACACACACACACACACACACACACACACACACACACACACACACACACACACACACACACACACACACACACACACACACACACACACACACACACACACACACACACACACACACACACACACACACACACACACACACACACACACACACACACACACACGGTGGGATCGACATGGGTTTTAGTGAGTTAGTGATCTGACACGTTAGCCTGCGTCAAACCGGGATCTACTTGTCTAAATCTAGACATCTTAAATCACCTGAAGAGTGTGTGTGTGTGTGCGTGTGTGTGTGTGTGTGTGTGTGTGTGTGTGTGTGTGTGTGTGTGTGTGTTTGTGTAATCACTTGATCGGATTAAAGCAGGTGATGATGACATTACAAGATGAGAAAATGCAAGTGGCCTTAAAAAACACCCAAACCTCTCCGACATGTGAAAGTGCAGCACAGCAGTGTATCAGTGTGTGTATCAGTTAGTTGTGTAACTATACAAGGTGCTGGAAGTGTGTTGATTTACAAGATAGTACACAAACACAAACAAATATGAGGTCAAGGACCTGCTATTGGAGCTGCTCTGCTCGAATAGCTTGTGGGAGATTCAAGATATGAACGGGAGGTTATCAAGCCTCTGGTTAGCTGGAATCAGCTTCCAGGTAATAAGATATCAATGTGTTGAAGATTAGATATAACTTTACTGTTCAAGTACAAAGACAACGCACGATGCAAAAGCAGTAAAGTGCAAAAGACATTCACATAGGTAGAGGAAGAAATAGTGAGATATGAACATTATATGCAGAAAGGTATACACAACAGTATGGGGTTAGGTTTATAATACAGTGGTATATAATAGGGTATAAATAAGGTGTATAGATCAGTAATTTACTGTATGGACAGTAGTATAAATATATATAGTACAGGTCAGTGAAAAGTGATATACTCAAGTTAGTTGACAAGCACATTTATTGGATATACTGCAGATGGTCCTCAATTAAAGATTTAATTCTTTACCGGACAAAGATTTGGTTTCCCCCGAGCTTTCCAACCATTGGTGCAGGCATTGACCAGATAATATTAGATATTACTAGTAGAACCTAAGATGTTATTACATAGGCCCAAAATTATACTGTTAAAATTGTAAAGATTTGAGGAAAATCTGAATAAATAACATTTTAAGTAGCAAAGATATAGTTTTTTTCTGCTGTCCACAACTCATCATGAGAATATACTTGTATCCACTTGCATACCCAGGTTGGGAGCCATTACTAGTCAAATACAATACAAATACACCAGAGAAGTATTATAAACGTAACTAAGGGGCAGGATGTATAAGGCGAGACCGTAGTACTGCACTATTCCACATACTCACTTTATTTTAGAACTATTTTTCTTTTTGTATTACTTTTACTATCTGTATTATTATGTTGCATTGTTGGAGAAGCCTGTGACATAAGATTTTCAACTACATAATTACTCTGTAGCTATGTTAGTTTGACAATAAAGAACCTTGAACCCTAGTATTTGTATTTCAGTGTTCAAGAATGTCCTATGCATTTACAAAGAACTTAACACCATTATATTTCCTGCAATGGTGCTATTGTATGATTATTTTAAAGATAATATTGAGAACTCAATGTAAACTCACAGCACAGGAATACTTGATTACCTAGTTTGATATAATAGAGAAAACAGTAGAAATGTATCATGATACATATATGCAATGCAGGAATATCAAAGTCTTGTTAGGTTCACTTACATCTGCTTATAATGCACACATCTGTTTATTCAACATTTTACAGTATTTGTTGTACTGTACAGTATTTACTTTTACATTATGTTTTACCCTATCATGTTTTACATGTACAGTATAGCTATTTATAGTTCCTGCAACTTAATTGCACCATTATGTCTCATGCACTATTTGTTTATTTTAAGTATAGTATGTTGCATTGTAAAGATTGTAATGCCATATATACATTGTAGATATTGTGCCTTTAAAAATGAAACACACTTTGAATCTTTGAATGCTTTGCTGGCCATCCTACACTGCATTATATTATGTGTTACCTTATTCCTGATGACACATTATGTCTCTTGCACTATGTGTATATTGTAAGCACAGTATGTTGCATTGTAAATATGATACATGCCATGTCTAGGTTTAGTGCCTTTGTAAATAAAACACACTTATCCTAATCTTTGAATGCTCTGCTGATCATCCTACACTGAGTATCTATCCCTGCATTGACGCTAATGCCCATATGGGATCCGTCCAAACCCCCCCCCCCCTCTCCACTGTCAACATGCCTGCTGGCTACATCCACAATAACATGGCAGTGCTGACCACCCTGCGCCAAACACACACACACAGTCACACACATATGAAATGCAATAACAAGCGCCTCAAAAATATTCACATTTAGGAAACCTTGAAAGCTTCTTTGACACATATTACTCCACGGGGCCCTGCACGCGCCGCAGCAGATCTACTCACCACACAGTGATATAATGATGATGCGTCCTCCCGGTTACACTGCGGGACAGTGCGGGGGCTCGGTGCGGTGAACAGGGCTCAAGTCCTCCGGTAAACACTCGGTACCGACTGATAGGAAAGCGGTTATTCCATATTCCCTGTGTAAGTGTGTGACACTGTCAACTCAACCTCCCTCTTTCTCGCCCCCCTCTCTCGAGCGTTCAGTTGCGTCAAAGTCACAGGTAAGCAGGGCAGTACCGGAAGCGTTGCTTTCAAAATAAAAGGTTATATTGGGGTTTCTTTCAATTCAACAATCTATGTGATACAGACATGGAGATTGATATGCTGCTTCTCACCCTCCCAAATAATAAAAATACATACATATATATATATACATAACAATGGACAGTTATTGCACTACTTGTATTTGTACTGTTCTCATATTCAACCGTTTTTGTCTATCAGACTGCTATTTTTATATATTTATTGTTGTGCCTTTTTTTTTATATTTTATTTGTATTTTGTGTATGTACATATTTTTATATATTTTAATCTTTGGGACGGTGGGAAACGGCATTTCGGTCTCCCTGATAATACCACACACATAGAGATACTTTGACTTTGATACAAACCTGTACATCCACTCATATATATTTTCATATACTCATACATAGACACACATATACACATACACACATTAAGAGGGAGAAATAAAAAGAAGGCACAACAGTAAATATATACAAAAATAATGGTCAGAGGTGTGCGTCTAGTAGACTCTAGTCCAGTTCCTGTTGAATAATACAGTTTTAAGGCTTGATGGAGCCCACTGGTTGTGTTATTCATTTACCTGAATATTTGAACTAAAATATAAATAAATGTGAGGATTTGTCAAATAACACTGACCTCTTACTTTTAGTTTCAGTTAATTTCCTAACTTGTTTATCATACCTATTTTGACTTGTGAAATTAACCATAACGTATATTTCACATAATATTTATTATCCCCCATGCCATGCCCAGGTTATAACACATTTGGAAAATTGTTGAGGAAAATAGACACAATTTAGTGCAGGAAATCACATGGATAAATGTACGTACACCCTCAGGCAGTTTGACTAGTTATCACATCTTTTTAACTAGAGCCACAAATGTACAATTTTTTATCGATTGAGCCGACGATTATTGTTCTAAATGAACCACTTCAAGTTTTGGTCTACAAATTGTTAACACATATATATATTTAAGATGTCCATAGCATTTTCTCATCTATCTACCTATCTATCTACCTATCTACCTATCTACCTATCTACCTATCTACCTATCTATCTATCTATCTATCTATCTATCCATCTATCCATCTATCTATCCATCTATCCATCTATCCATCTATCTATCTATCTATCCTTAAGTGAGCACACCGTATGTATAATGCTTTTATTTTGAAGGGAAACTAGCTTGTGTTCCGGTGTCGTTAATAGTGATTGACAGCTCCATGGTCACTGCGCATCCGTACCATTCATCTCTGACGTCAGAACTACGCTCGGAGAAAAGCGTGTTAATCAGGCTCAACACAAAATGTGCATATTTACTTTAATCAGTGTTTTTATTATATGACACAGGATACAAAACAACAATGGGGTCATTATTTTACTTCCTAAGATTATAGTATTATTATATAAAAGTAAAAAGGTTTATTTCTTAGTTTATTTATATCTTGTATTAACTAATAACCTGAATCTGTAAATAGGAAGTGATTTTGTCAAATAAATGCGGAGTTAAAAGTACATAATTGTTTCCAAATGGAAGTATAAAGCAGCATAAACTAAGAATAAAGAGTAAAGCACTACCCCACAGAGGTGGGAGAAGTACTCAGATCTTGTACTTGAGTAAAAGTAGAAGTACCAGAGTCTAGGAAAACTCGGTTACAAGTAAAAAGTCCTGCAATCAAAAGGTTACTCAAGTAAAAGTACAAAAGTATTCGCATCAATATATACTTTAAGTAGTTTTAAGTTCTCATTGTGCAGATTGGTCTATTTCAGAATGATATATATGATATGTTTTATAATGATTGATCATTAAAGTGTTATCAAAGCTGGTAAAGGTGCAGCTAGTTTGAATGACTTTGTATACTGCAGTAGCTTGTGAATTTACTCCAGGTGGAACTAAAGTCTGATTTAACACTTGATTATATTTCACATCATTCACCCACATCTGTAAAGTAACTAAAGGTATTAAATAAATGTAGTGGAGTAAAAGTAGCCTACACCATTTACCTCTGAACTGAAGTGGAGTAGAAGTTCAAAGTAGCATAAAATGAAAATACTCACATTTTATCACTGCTTATTGCAGACTTGGGAGGGTTACTTTAAAATGTTATCCGTTACAGTCAAAAAATGTAATCAGTAACCTAATCTGAGAATCAAAATATAAAAGTAATCAGTACTTTCTGTTACTTTTGGATTTCTTCAATATCAAATGCAATGCAAATAAAAACGAGAGAAAATAAATAATAAAAAATGCTTTTTACAAAAGTGTATGTAACAATATAACCTCAGAAAAGAAGAAAAGAAGAAATTTTATATAACAAATGTAGTAATTTACAAATGTTGTTTAATAGACTGTATTTCTGTTTAAATCAGGTGTCCACCTATTGCATTAAAAAAGTATCCTAAATATAAACCATAAAGGTAATTCAGTACGTCTATCTATAATATATCAATCTTTATTCCAAAATGTATTGTAACACTGTCATCCTGCTAGTAATCTCTATTTTTTATAAATGTTACAGTAATCCGATTACCTTTTTTTTGTACCCCGATTACGTATTCTCGTTACATGTAATCCAATGCCCTTCATGCTTGTATTGAATCTATAAAGGAATTAACTTCACATACGAAACTAAAATCTACATTCATGCATTTGGGGAGGGTTTATTTAAGATTGTTTATTTATAACTAAAATAAAGGACAAAGGGGTTAGCATCCTTTGTTAGCTGAGACTGACATCTAGTGGACGTTTGGGCACAAGGCTCTTATAAAACAAACCATTCCACTTCCACTCTCTACTCTAATGCTACCAGGGCTGCAGTGAAGACACATTTAGGGGACCCCGAATCAATCCTAAATCCAGATTAAATTAAATCCCAGGAAAAAACTAGATTAGGGAGCAGCAGACTAAGCTATACACACAATGCATGTTAGTATTTAGTATGTAGAAACACCTGAAGGTCAAGATTCAAGTGGAACTCTGTAACTATTTAATCAAGAAAGAATATTGGTCGCAATTATCAGTTAAATTGAAGTTGCTGTGTGTGCCTTTGTTCAGGTCTGTTATCCGTTACTACTTATATTCAAAACCTATTGAGATGTCAATATCCCTAGTTCATTTAATTCCTATACATTCTTTATAGATTATTCAATATGTATTAGCACTAACTATCTCTTCACGAGCATAGGTATTTACCGATGCACATTTACACAAAACAGGGGCTTAAACTGAACCGCTGATGCGCATAAGGCTTGAAAATGTCATAACAGAACAAAGAGTTTATAGGTGTGAGGATGGGAGAAAAACAGTGTAATCTGAACTCAGATCAGAAATGTGTCTTTTCCCTCAAAGCAAAACCCAAGAACCCTTGAGCCGAACATAAGTGTGTGGATGACTATGGCATATACAAACAAAAGGTAGTTTAAGTACAACGTAGGTTTAATATGAATATTTACTTTATGTATCTAATGAATAATTAAAAAGATGGAGGGAAGTTGGGTGTTATGGTAAAATCGCATTCATTTTTTTTGCCTTCACCCGTTTTTCTTTCGTACAGCTATTTCTTTAATGTAGTGACTGAATGACAAGTGGATGCTTATATAAGCGTGTGGTGCAGTGGGTTAGTGCGTTGGTGTTCGGATCAGGGGAGCACAGGTTCAAACCCCATTGCAGTCAGCATGTCGTTGTGTCCCTGGGCGAGACACTTCACCCCAAATTGGTCCCGTGTGAATTGTCCACAGTATAGAGTATGTAAGTCGCTTTGGATAAAAGCGTCTAACATGTAATGTAAACATACATGGGTCTCATGGTTGTTAAACTCGAGAAACAACTGTTGCCTCTTTGAGAAGCAATATATTAAAAACATTAAAAGCAAACCCCACAGCACTGAACCGTCTGAAACACCACCAAGCAAATCCAAAAAGGCAAAGCTGAAGCAACATCAGTCAAGATCATTTCATTTTAATTTGGCTATATTTACTTTATAGTATTAACCGACTAAAAAGGGGTGCCACACAATACTATGTCCTTCATATTGCATCACGTTTACTTCATTCCCCTGCTCACTGCACATACCAAGGTGTGTAAGCCTAAAGTTGACATTTACCAGTCACTAGTTTATATTAAAGTACACACGAGAAGGACAGTACATTTCCAACTGAGCCATCACATGTCTTTCAAAGATGGCAAAGAGAAGACAAGACGCAGATGAACAATTGAACAGGAGATTTATTTTGTGGGCACTGTTCACTTCTTTGCTGCCTCCTTCTGGAGCTTCTTCACCTCATGCTTGATGATCTTGTTCCTCTGCAGAGACAAAAAGAGCATACATTAAGAACTGCTGTACGATCACTATTCTACACACTTAGACCAATGGACCCGTTACATTTAATTGGCTTTGGTTGTTAAATCAAAACTGCTGCTCGTAGGAATTAATAACCACATTTCATTCGAGGGCCAGAGATTGAGCATCGGCAGGAACAAACTATTGTCAATGATTTCTCTCTGGGACAATTAAAATCAGCCCGACCCATCATTAGTTTTATGAGCTGCAGCTGTTTAGTCAGTCAGCTGTGAGAAGAGCTCCATCAGGAGGCATTACAGTCTAAACTCACAGATCTACAATGGTCCATTTTATATTTAACTATTACTATTGTGTAATAAATGTGACTTAAAGAAGGCAATACAGAATAAATTAAGTATTTGGGAAATGTTTGAAGACCCCAGATAAAGCTAGCATCAATTTGCTGGCCACATTTTCCACACATGAATGAAAGCTGCCTAAATCTGTTTCACTTACCATCCTCTTGGCCTTCATCACCTTGTAGCGGTCAAAGTCGCACATTTTGGATCTCTGCAAAAATAAGGAGAAATAGAGTCAGGGAAGAACCAGAGTAGTTTATTTCTCTCACAGTTTAGCACAGCAGAATTCAGTTTTAAGGATGGACATGTGCATTGATAAAGGGAGTCAGTTTGCTTTAAGTTTAATGTTTGGGGCACATGAAGCAATCCAGAGACCCCTACGGCTGGAGAAATGGAAGGTGGGCTGCCTCTTTAAACACAAACAGAAGCCTATTTGTGAAACTCAAACCTAACCTGCAGGGAAACAGCTCAGACAGGAGGGGCCGTATTTTGTATACAATCCTCTAAACTTATCACACAAACCACAAGACACCATCAGGATCAGCTGAGTAGTAAACAGTGACAGGTCAGCCTCACACAAACATACCCTCCATGTTAAATAAAGCAGAATATAACAGTTGGGGGGAAAAAACTGAAAACGTGTTTTTTCAGAAATTGTTGGAGTCAAACTGATAGGTAACAAATGTATGGGAACCAAACTGCTGCACTCACCAGCTGAATGTACTTTCAACTATGTTAGTCACTACGTAGTGGATTCAAATGAGTATGGGTTTAAAATCTAGCAGTTTCCTGGAGAAACCGTGCAATCCATCATTAAAATACTGGTAAAAATATAATTTGGTCTTACTTCTATGGCATTCAAAAGTCTTTACCTATCCATTAGCACATTTCCCCCACAAACAAGAGAAGTTACAAATATTTGTTTTGGAACGCAACAGAATGTTGAACAAAAAACCTGATACTGCTAAACAAAAAGGCAATTATCAAAATCTTAGCAAGATTTGAGAAATTCCCACTACCGGCTGTAACACATCTTACATTTGAAGGACAATTAGGATGCCATGGGTTTGCCCACACTTGCAGTGCTCAAAGTGAAAAAATAATGCATGCATTTGCCCCACGACTCTTCCTTTACCCATATAACACCCTTCAAACTAGTTTCATAACATAGTGTTTATGTGTCCCTGCTGTCAAACAGAACAAACCGGCGGGGGAAACATCACCTCACTGCCGGAAGCAAATAAATTATTTAAAAGCCAACATTAATCTGCTGCTGCTGAAATAACGCAACTTGTAAAATAATTTTTATTGTCCAATATGTTCATAGCGACCAGAGGGAAACATTGCCTTACCTTCTGTCTCGCCTCGATCTTCTTGGCCCAGCTGCTTTCCGACCACTTCTGGGTGACCTCGGCCTTCACCCAGGCTCTTCTCACAAACTTCTGACGAGCACTGTGAATACATAAAAACAGTCAGTACAGATACAAGAGGGATTACTCACGTTTTTAATCAAATAACAACCACACAAGGAAACCCAAATCATATAATTTATATATTTTTGAAATATTAGAATTGCAGTCACGGTCATCTCATTTGCAGTACAGCGTTGACACAAATAAGATCACTTAAGATGCTCGATACGAGGAATTTCTGCAATAAGGCTGTCAAATGTTTGCAATAATGAATTAAGAGTCCTTAGATCTGCCTCCCTGGTGCTCCCAGTAAACTGCTATATTACATGTAACTGCTTGTAGAATTAAAAACTATCTCCAACATTAAAATAACCGATACAAAAGTATGTTGTTTCCTAGTGGTTCCTTTTGAACTAATTTTGATTGCAGAGACGATGTTGTGCCCCCCTATTGACCACACTTACAGACCCCTTATAAGATGCCTCTTCTAAAAATAGCAAACTAGGTAAACCTTGAGTGGTTTCTAGAAATGCCTAAAGTCTTGTGTACCTAGCCTGGTAGGAAAAGGAAAACAATCTGTACCCTTCGTTTCAAATAAGTTGTTTTTTTGTTTTAAGAAAATGACTGTTCCCACTCACCTGTGAGGTACTTTGATGACGTAGTCTGTAAGCTGCATGCACTTGAAGGGCATGGATTGTCTCTTCACACCTGTGCAGGGACCATCAACAAGGGCCTAACAAAATAGAAACAATGCACAATTAAGAAAAATCAATATAAAACAAGTCCAAAGTGATGCTTACGCTACTCAAGCCAATCTCACTCACCCTGTTTTGGTCGATGACATCTACGATGGCCACCAGCTTGCCAGCATGGGGTCCGAAAGAGATGTAGGCAACACGGCCGATCTCAACGAAGCGTTTGAACACCTGAGAAACACACATCACAAAATAACGAAAGTCAAAAGGAGGCTTTTACATGGAAAGGTCTCAGTTTAGTCAGTGGAGCAAAGTAACTAAGTACTTTTACTCAAGTACTGTACTTGCCACTTTCTTCTACCCAACTACATTTTAGAGGTACATTGTGCACTTTTAATCCACTATTATTTAATACCTTGAGTTTCTTTGCAGATTTGATTAATGACGTGACATTTTAACAAGACTTGAATTAGACTTTAGTTAAACCTGAAGTAAATTCACGAGCTACCCTGCAGTAAATAAAGTAATTTAGCTGCAGTTACCAGCTTTGATAAACACATTGATGCATTATGTGTTGATCTAAAAATTAGACAATCTGCATAAGTATTTTTACTTTTGGTACTTTAAGCATATTTTGATGTTAATACTTTTACTGAGGTTATATTTTGAAAGCAGGACTTTTACTTGTAACCTATTATTCCTCAACTCTGGTACTTCTTATACTTGAGTAAGATAAGATATAGTATATTGTCCCAATTGAGGAGTTTTTTCCCCCACAGTACAACATCCGAGTACTTCTTACACCTCTGAGTTTAGCCTTTAATTGAAGACACCCAAATCAAGAGACTGTATATTTCTGGGTCAACACATCTGCTCAATTTGTAGGCAAGGGGCTCACTTTTCTTGACTTATAGCCATGTTCTGATATACCACAGTGGATAACGTTGCCAACAAGCTAATGTAAGCTAGCTAATGTGTCTGCTAACGACTTGCATGCCGCTAAAATGGGACTACGTAGAAGCGTATTTCCAGGTGTATGTATAACATGTCATACAATTGAAAATAAAACATCGCATGCAGACGATATCAAGCAATGTTGTCGTGACAAAACACGTGTAATTAGTCCGATAAAGCGAGCAGGCCTCTCCCTGGACGGACCACGTTGTAGCCGACATCTTACACATATAGCGTTAAAACTTCAAATACAACCATATTACCACACAAAACGACCCATGAATATGCGTGTAAGTGTGTTAACATTACACATTACTCTCGTTGTTCTAGTTAAATTAGATATATAAAAAGAATTTCGACAAAGAAACGCTACAACTCTGATGGCGAACTCACCATGATGGCAGTCCGGGAGCAGAAAGGCCGTCCCAGCTTCCGGTTGACGCAGATACGTCTTCCGCTTATACTGTACGCATGCGCACTGTGTATATTTTCTTCTATGAGCTTTTTCTTTTTTAACAATATTTGTAGCACTATTAAAACAGTATGAATAAAAAAAGGCAATCAAAACTAATTGTGTATTTAAGAAATATTTAATCTGATGTATGAAACGTATTTTTCTTTACTTTAGATGTCTTCCCCCGATGTAAATTTGTTGTATACAAAATATATGATGTTCATATACGTTCTTGTATAAATAAAAGGGGAAAACCCCCAAAACTTTACAAAGATAAAAGTTGCAAACAAACATAAATCAGTCATCTTCTTCTATGAGGTTTATTGGCGGCTGGCAACCAATGAATAAGTTAATTACTGCCACCTACTGGATTGGAGTCAGTAGATTTTGTCTAGTTTTTTCATGAGAGAAATTAACAAAATCTTCGATGTTAAAATTGTCTAATATTTGTTGAAGCTTTTGAGATGTTTATTTGAGGTACATTTAGAGGGACAAGGAACATTTCAGACCCCATTATATACTATACAACTGTGTGCAATATACATGCAGGTGAAATATAACCTCCTGCAATTTCACGTTTATCTTTCTTTTTTTAAATTTATTTTTAATTATCTTTATTTACAATTGGCATACAGTACCAACTAGCTCTTTAATTCAATATGGTCACTTTTCTTAAAAACAAATATACTGCTATTTGTTTTTACCATGGTGTACATATCTGCTATTTTGTTTTTTACTTATTATAATAATACAAATGATAATAATAAAGCTTTATTTATATAGCACTTTTCATACAACACGTGCAGCTCAAAGTGCTTTACAAAATGACACATCACAAGTTAAAAACAAACAACAAGAAATTCCCCTCAGATTATTTGTTATGGACTTTAGAAGGTGCATGCAGCAAAATATGACAAGTTATCAGGTTAATAGACGCAAGGAGGTCAAATGTATGATAATAAAAATAAAATAAAATAAAAAATGGTTTCTCTCTGACAGATTAGACACAAGACAACTGAGTCGATGCAACAATATAAAATATAAAACCCCATAAAACAAAGTGAACATAGGTACAACAGAAATAAAGATACAAAGATTAAGACCTATAAAATAAATAAAACAATATAAGGTAGGTCCATAATAAAGACTAAAATAACATTTAAAGTGGGGGGTTGCTAATAAAAAGCTAATCTAAAAAGATGTGTCTTTAGCTGGCGTTTAAAAATGTCCACTGAGTTGGCCTCTCTGATATTTCCTGGTAGGGTGTTCCACAGTTTTGGAGCGTAGTGGATAAAAGCGGCCTCACCCATTTTATTTTGGGGGACTTTAGGGATATTTAAAAAGCCAGCTGAAGAGGACCTCAGGGCTCGTCCAGGGACATAAAACGAGAGTGACTCTGTGAGATAAGTGGGTGCCAAACCATTAAGAGCTTTAAACACCATTAAAATAATAATAGGAACTGTTAGAACAATAACACAACTTCTACACTAATTCTTGGCATATCTCACAAAAGATGGGCTACAACATATCAGTAATGTAGGCCTATATTACAGACATCTTTTAATTAAGCCTCCAGTATTGAAAATTACACTATCTTTAGAGTTTACTCAAGTGAGCATTGTTGGGCCAAAGTGATGTCACCGACTGACCTGGGGCTTGCCAAGGGATTCTGGGAAGGACAGGAATTGAGAAAGTAAGCGGAAGTGAGAGAGAGAGAGAAAGAGAGAGAGATAAACAAATTAGCAAATGAGGTCACTCAAAACAAAAGAAACATGATAGTGACACTAAATGCACAAATGTAATCTTTGCCCTGAAGCAGAGAAAAAGATACTTGCCTTGTTTTGCAGCTGAGACTCTGAGATATTCCATACATTCGGCCTTGTGTTCCAGCACCTGTTTACGATGTTCTCGTACCAGCGCCCTCCCTGTACGGCTCTTCCACACTTTTTCCCAGTCTTTCTCGGTCTACACACAAAAGACAATATCAATAAACAGTTGTCATAGCCCGCAGGTGATCAACTATCAGGTTCAGAAAACACAAAGCTGTTTGTTCCCAGCAATTTCACCATAACTCACCATGTCTTTGAAGGCCTCCCCTTTGTAGTATGTCTTGGATCCTGGATAGCTTATGCCCTCTTCACATAGCTGCTCCATGCTTGAAGCCACCAAATGTAGCTTCGCTCCATCGTAGGCATACAGCTTTCCGTCCTCACAGATCATTAGAACGAGCTGGTCCCATGGGCAGGAGGTCCCCTCCACTACACCTACAACCTGCATTCTTACTATCTCAGGAAGATAGAATTCTCCCCACCCATTCACTACGTCAGGCTCCTCACTGTAAATGGTGTCTTCCAGGGGTCCTATCTTCAATGTGGCGCCAGCTGTTTTTTTTAATTCAAATATCTTGTGTCTATTCTCTTTGGATACATAATCTAAAACCCCTTTCATGTAATCTGGACCTGCAACACATGCCGAACAAAAGTTACACCACCGTTTTTATGATATGAGGCAAAAGGAGTGTTGTCTAATCAACTACACAACCATTTCTCTTAAGTTCTACCTTAGCTTACCTGTGTTCCCGTTTTTCTGTGGGAACAGCAGACCTGCTGGCCTGAATGGAAGAAAAGACAAAAAAATGTTTCCCAATGAATGGCTGCAAGTTAATCAGTGAGCTCCAGTCCATTTCTCCCACATTTATTTTCATGATTGTGATCCTAAGAGACTCTTGATTCAGCTACAGCTTCAGTACATGTTCTACAGCCATGAGGCTCAATGCCTGTGGGTCCTGAATTCTGTTTTTCAGTACCGATGTACACGAACCATCAGCCATCTTGAGACCTTGTCCGTCTCTTTTTTTCACCAGGACTTTGAGTCGGTTAAAGTCATGGCTCATATACTCCTCCACACATCTCGGATTCATTCTCCCGGAGACACAGCCAATGTTTGCTCCGCCCTTGTTCCTCTTTGTTTAGATGATGTTGGGGCGTCTGTGGCTCAGTGGTCTTTTATCAATCGAAGGATTGGTGGTTTAATCCCCGCCCCCTCTGGTCAACATGTTGAATGTTTTCCTCAGGCAAGATACTGAACCCCAACTTGCTCCTGGTGTCAAGGGTACTGGTGACTGTGTTTGAAGGGGCGAGTGCTGACATGTGTTTAAAACGCAGTTTGAGTGGTCGCAAAGACTAGAAAATATAAAATCAGTCCATTTGTTACCTGCTCTTGCGTGGGAGTGTAGTCTTCCATCTCTCCAGGTCTTCATGACACAGGGGAGGTTTAGTGGTCCAGGTGATTGGCAACATTTGGAAACGGACTTTCTTTGAACGACATACTTAAAATACTCAAAACTCTTTTAGACGCTGTCACAATATTCTTGTTTTGCTCGATACGAAGGAACCGCAGATATACTACGTGATCTATAAGGATGAGCCATCCACCCTAAAGGGGAAACTCATTTTGGCCACTTGATTTCTCTGTTATCAACATTAGAAAATGACGAACATGACAAGCCACTTAGTCATCATGGTGTGAATCCACTACCTGCAGTCCTTCTAGTTTTACTAATTGTATAATCCATGATACGCCTGAATGTGGCTGCCACCAAAATCACACAAGCAGAACTTATGAGACGCTGTGTGTTATGGTTTAGGTGTTTTGCTTTTTCCTCCTCCCCTCTGTCTTCTCTCTCTCTCTCTCTGGCCGTTTCTCAATCGCGAAGATGCTGGCTTGGTAGCACAGCCGAGCCGAGCGTCTTGCTTCAGAAGCAAGGCAAGAATACTTCCTGCCATTCGGAAAACGAAGAGTGGAACAGGCTAGCAAGTGTGCAGGTGTGCGTCATATGAGAGGCCCCGCCTTACATCTTCCGCCACAGATTTGGGGAAATTGGTCCATGCGCAAAGCATTGTGGGGATTTTAAGGACGCGAAGTCTACCCATGTGCAGCCTCCAAATTTCCCCCAAACCAAGGACGCGGCCTCGGTGGAATTCCAAGTATGCTGGAGATTGGAACAGTCCTTCGGCGGCACTCGATGACGTAGCATCCTTGAAATATTGGCTTGGAAGCCAATATCCTCGCGATTGAGAAACGGCCTGTCTCTCTCTCCTGTGCAGTGTGGTGATCGTTAGAAGGCGCAGCTGGTTCACAATGAGGAGCACCTGTACTCATCTAATCAACTCCTCCATAAAACCCTGGTCATGTTCACACTACAGCGCCAGATAATTCCGTCTCACTCGGTAGAGCTGAACGTTGCAGTATCCTAGCTTAGTGTGATTTTCTCTTGCTGTTTTTGTTGAAGAGTAACCTTGTTTTTTCCTCTGTTTTTCCCAGTGTCTGCTCGAGCCAGCCTGAGTCCTGCCGCCACCACCAGCGTGAACTAGATCCACCTTCATTTTGTGGATTGTTTTTTAGTTGCTCCTTTTTTCCTTTATTAAACTTTGTTAAAAGACTGCATCCATCTGGTCTCTGCCATTGTAGGTCCTGAACTTTTGACCCAGCCCTAACACTGTGATTCCTAAAAATAAATCAGATTGACCATGACATACTATTGACAATGTACAACTAATGACATCATTATAAAGAGTAAACAAGCAAGTTGTTCTTACTTAATTAAAATATATGTACAAAAAATCCAGTAATGAAGTTACATTTAAAAAAAATGTTATTTATAACACAGCTTTTTATCCTCTAAATGCCAATTTTGATCCTGTTGCTCTTCCTATGTTATCCACAATTCCCATCTTTATCCTGCTTCTTCTTGTCTCTCGTCAGTGTTCAATCCAGTGCATCTTGTCTCTCCTCTTGAAGGTGTTCATGACGCAGTTAGTTTTGTGGTTCAGGTCTTATATGTGCATAGCAAAATTGCAAATCTTCTTTGAACCACATTCTTCACTCCAAACTCTCAAACACACTTGAGGGTCTCTTAATGAAAAGGTGTAAGTCATTTTAAATTAACGTTGTAAATAGGTTCTGGCATTTTCTTTTATAGACACATTTTGCTTTTAATTGTGAAGTTGGAAGCATGTTGAAGTTGCTTTACATGTGACGTAGTTAATATTCAATATAGTTACAAGATGACTGAAACAAGATAACAGGAAAGACTGCGTTTCTTGGTGTTGTATGCCATTGTTGTTTTAACCCCCCCCCCCCCTTAACAGAAAATAAAAGTTCTTACTTGCTCTCTGGACTGGAATCCACCCTAGCCTTCTGTTACAGGGAAAACAAAAAAATGCATTGTTAACAGTAGTAAAATAAAAAATGTAAATAAAAACCTCTACTCATTATAACAATATGACAGCATTTTGATATTTTTGAAAACACTATGATATACACGATATCAACAAAGAGCTTCTAATCTAATCAATAAAAATGTCAATAAAAAAAACCAAATAATATAATAACAGCAATATTTAAACCTGTACTTATTATAAAGGTTAAATAGCATTACAAAATATTGGCTACTGAGCTAATTGGTAGAGTATAGCTTATTTATTATTGCATTTAAATGTTGAAATACAAATGTGCAATTTTACAAATTTAACTAATTAATAAATGCCCTCTTTTTTCCATCAAGTAGTGGTACTTACTTTATAGACAACTGGACAAACTTCCATCGTGCCACAACCTGCCATCGTGCCACAACCTGCCACACATCTGTGTACAGAAACGTAAATTCAAATATGGAAGAAACAATTATTTTGAAAATAAATACATGAAATCTGAGTTGTGAGATGAAGATTAAACAAAAAACTATTTTTAAATAAATAAGAAACAGCACTTTTTTATGAAATAATGAACATTGAAATGTCTCCAATTATTTGAATGAAAATATTTTGTTGCATCATTTCAATGTTAATATTCTAAAATGTGTGTTTTAAATGTAACTTTGAAGTTATTGTTTCATGAAAACAAAAGTTGATCCCTCATATTTTTTTTGAATGTATTGAAGAACAATTTCACAGATATTGGAAAGTATCCCAAAATGTTTGAGTAACACAGACAGACAGATGTTTCAATAAATAAAACACACATAAGTCGAATCGTTTGGATTTTTACGAGAAATACTCGGTATGTATTGGTCCCTGGTCCCTACGCATTATATATACACCAGCAACCAGCAGGAAAACATTTGCATTTCCTTTAAAGACAGACCCAGACTACACCCTTTTCTCTTTATTCACAAATCTTTATTTTATGCTTATTTGCAGATCCGTTTTACATTTGCACATTCTTTTGTGAGTTTGCAAGTCTTTTGAATGCATTTGTGGAAGATGTTTTACTTTACAAATCACATATTTACAACTTATTTTTATGTTAATACAAACATTATTGAGACAAATCTAACCCCACAGTGCTCCTCCCAAACCTAATAACACATTTGGCACGGTTCTATCTAAATATAATGTTAAGCAGCCTAAATATATGAGTAAAACGCAAAAATAAAATAACACAGTAACTCTTGATGTACATATTCTACGTCAATGTTAGCCTACCTGTTTTACAAAGACACCTCAAACTGAAGTAAGCAAACATAAAGTGTGAGATAAATCATACAAACGGAAATAATAGTTACCCAAATAGTAGATTGAGGTCGTTGGTGTCTGATTTATATTCAGAATTGCATTCACATTTATAGCGACTTTAAACACTCCCTGTTCCTGGTCTGAAAAGGTTGCTGCACTTGGTACATACTAGCAGTGTTGGGACGCGTTACAAAGTAACGCGTTACTGTAACGCCGTTATTTTTGGCAGTAACTAGAACTCTAACGCATTATATTTTAAATTCAGTAACTCAGTTACCGTTACTACATGGTGCGTTACTCCGTTATTTTTTTTTATATAGTCTCGGCTCCCAGTAGCCTACTTGAGTAAATGTACTTAGATACTTCTATTCCTGTGTCACATGCGGAGACGCGCTGTGGGCGTGTTTGTGTTTACTAACAAGACTATCATGGCGGCGGCGGCGGAGCTCAAGTCGAGTTTCTCCGCCTGTAGATATTCTCACTATTTCACTTTTGTCGAGCACAAAGAAAAGAACGTTTTAGTTAAATGTAAGTTGCGTCTTGGCGGGTCAAAGATCCTATCTACTGCCCAAAACAGCAATTAAAATCTGTTGAAACATCTGCAGAAACAACATGCTGGGACGAAGCTAGTAGCGAAGACCACAGACCCAGACTCATCCGACGCCACTCCACCTCCACCTAAGCAACAACAGCGGCTGGATTTTAACCGAGGGACTGCTAGCCAGGGAAAAGTTGATAGAGCCATTGCACGGTATGTTGTAGAACACATGCAGGCTATTTCTACAGTGGAGTCACCCGCTTTCAGGGAGCTAGTAAGCATGATACCATGTCCGGGCGGCACACGGCATATTGCAGGCAACTCAAGTTTTGTCAGTTTGTTCTGGCCTGAAATAAATTGGCACTTTGAAACATATCTTTGTGTTTGTGTTTGTATAGACCACATTGCTTAGCAGAGTTCAGTGATGCAAATGCATGTCAAGTTGATCAACAGATTGTATTATTCTCCAATGCAATAACAGTACTGAAATGAAGGCTATAAGGGCATTCATGGGAGTTTTTTAAGTAACTAAAAAGTTACTGTTCACAGTAACGCATTACTTTTTGGTGTAAGTAATCAGTAAAGTAACTGAGTTACTTTTGAAATGAAGTAATTAGTAATGGTAACTAGTTACTGGTTTTCAGTAACTAGCACAAAACTGCATACTAGACTGGTATCTTGCTCTTTTCAATAGTGATCAATCCAGAAATATGACATTTCATCAAAAACAATGGATGAATAAATGAGAAGGTAGCGTTCATACCTTATTCTGACTGTCATAACGACTGCTTTACATATAGGTGTGGTAGTTCAAAACATGAGGCAGGGCTTAATTAATGTATTTCCATTCATTCACTCCTGGCCTACAATGGTAAGTGGCTGCTTTTAACTGCTTTCCTTTGCTGATATTTAGTAGTAAGTAATTCTGATCAAATTCTACATTGCTAATTTACTTTCTGTTGTCAGTGAAATGTGTAAGTGTTATAATCATGGTTTAATGTGTCGTGTGTTATTTCTCCCTATAGTTTGCTGTGGCTGAGGCGGCTAAGGCTGAGGCTGAAGAGAAGAAGTGAGTCCGCTGATTACCTGAACCACTAATACTGACTTCTGATTTTAAATGTTATTAAAACTCTTTATTACTGATTTTATATTTTTATAGGAGAAAAGAAAAATATCTGGTGGAGATAAGTTATTTCCTAAGCAATGCTCTAGCGATTATCAAAACAATGTTGAAGCTGAATACCTCCCGTCAAGATGGAGATACACAGTTAGTAGAGGAGGTATGTCTGATGTGGCTTTTATGAACTTTTGAAATGATGTGTTTCTTTCATAGAGCTTTACAGTTACACACAGCATTAACAATGGCATCTCTTTTTTGACAGATTCTTCACAGCATCTTCTTTTTGGGAAGGATCATGACACCACCATTGTCACCGGAAGAGATTGTGCTTGATACGGACTATTTAGCTGGGTTGAAGAAACAGTTCCCTCTGCCTTTTGAACCTTCCTCTTTCTCTCAACTACCCAGGCGGAGTCCATTCTCATGTGTGCTAGACATGGTTAGATTACAGTTTGTCAATTCTTCTATTTATACTAGGGCTGTCAGTCGATTCAAATAGTTAATCGCGATTAATCGCAAATTAATCGCACATTTTTTATCTGTTCTAAATGTACCTTAGAGGGATATTTTTCAAGTTTTTAATACTCTTATCAACATATGAGTGGACAAATATGCTTTATATGTTTGTTTATTATCATTTGAACAATGACAAATATTCTCATGAATATTAAACACAACAACCTCTGAACATTACAAATATTCGCCTCAATTCAACCTCTCTCATATAATAATACAAAGTGTGTGTGTGTGTGTGTGTGTGTGTGTGTGTGTGTGTGTGTGTGTGTGTGTGTGTGTGTGTGTGTGTGTGTGTGTGTGTGTGTGTGTGTGTGTGTGTGTGTGTGTGTGTGTGTGTGTGTGTGTGTGTGTGTGTGTGTGTGTGTGTGTGTGTGTGTGTGTGTGTGTGTGTGTGTGTGTGTGTGTGTGTGTGTGTGTGTGTGTGTGTGTGTGTGTGTGTGTGTGTGTGTGTGTGATGTGCAGCTCAAGGCATATATGCTCGAACGGGAGCTGCCTGGACTCTGCAATCATGTTGCGCGCACTATCCGTGCTGAGTGTGCTGACTTTTCGTACAATGTCCCACTGTCTGGCTACCTGCATAAAGTCAAGTTGTCGGCGAAATGTCGCTCCTCTGTTTTCATTGAAACAGCTCCTTATATCCGTTAGCGCAGCTAGCTAGGACCAGATGCTAACAACAACAACAACAACAACACGTAAGGTGTGCCTCGCTCGAGTCGCGCCACACATACACACACCCTGCCGGTGAGCGTGGAAGTGTGGTCTGCCACAAGCGGGCGGCAGGAGCGGGGCTGTCAGCATCAGCTTGTAGATGGTATTTTAAACTCGATGCGCTCTGAAACTACGGGGCGGCCGAGGACAAAAAATACACATGCGTTAATTGCGTTAAAATAATTAGTGGCGTTCATTTTTTTTTGCGTTAACGCGTTATTAACGCGTTATTAACGCGTTAACTTGACAGCCCTAATTTATACAGTTGCTTTCCCCCCTAAAATCCTCCTGAAATATTTGAGTTGTATGCACATATTCAAACATGAAGTATGACATAGTAAATTACAGCAGTTTGATAACATTTGTGATTGCTTTCAGATTGTTTTCCTGGAAGGACCAGAGAAGGAAGATGAAATAATAAAGAGGCTTCAAAAGATCATCAGACCGCTAAATCAAAAGCTTCTGGTCCCCTACACCATCTGTGTCTCTCAGATCACGAACAACCAAAACTCAGTCTGTAGGTACTACGGGGTCTCCATGTCCAGAATGTGGGATGATTTCTGCCTTATCATGATTTCTGCATCCTGTCTTAAATACTGGCACAGTGATGTTGCTGGTGCAGTGATGACCTACCATCCAAATGTTACGAAACATCCACGTTTTGATGGAACCATTACACTTCCAAAGCAGGTCACTTGCGAGACGTTTAAACTTTTCAAGGTGGGGAAAGTGTACATGCCTCCTTGCATAAGATGTCAGAATATGTTTGGTTTAAAAGAAATAGATCTTGCGGAGGGAGCCTCAGCTGAATCGCGAATTGCAGCTCGCAGTTCACACACGAGCTCCACTAGCACCGCCCCCCCCCCCTGATACAGATACACCTAAAACGTTTCCCTATGGCAACTGTGCTGAGGTTGAAAGTTTGAGCAACTTGTTTAAAAAGGATTCAGAAGTTAGGAGGCAAGCACGACCAACATCTGAGATGGGCACAGATGACAACAGAGAGATGGCTGCAAAGAGGGTCAGGGCAGATCTCATGGAATGGTTGAAAGAAAAACACAGCTTTACATGGGATAATACATTCTACAACCCACAGTTGTAGAATTGACTTGATTGAGTTGATGATAAAAAAGGGAAAAGATTGAATATATTGATAGGTATAATTGTTATGCTCCTTTTTTTTTAAGTGACCAGACAGATCTCTTTTGATATTAGTCACATGAACTTAAACTTACAAATGATCTCACTTGAATCCTCTGTGTTGTGAATTTATTTATGTGGAAATCAAATACATCATGCTTTATATTTGCTACTTGTTATGTGTAACAGTAAATATATAAATGCAAATGTTTGTCGACTGTCTGAATGAAGCATGCAGACAATGATGTATTGATCATGTTGTTAACAATTAAATAAAAATAATGTAAACTAAGGTTCATATTTGTTTGTTTTCTTTCCATTGCAACTTCAAGTGATTCTTTGCCAGAGAATAATTAGTACTCCAATATCATCTCTATCTATCATGGTCAAAGCCAAAATCATACTAAACATACATTTGTAAACACACTGGTTTCTTTTCTTTTTAAAACTGACCATGCATTGGCTCTTGAAGTCACAACCTAAACATATTTAAAGATATCTCAAGACTTGAGATTCTCAGGTGAAGTTGAAAAGTAGCCTTCCCATAATGTTTAAAATGTGTTTATCTTGCTAGTCTCAAACAATACAAATGTTGCTAGCCCTAAACTTCCTCTTTTCACTTGTTGCATGCCTGGACAGTTTCCAAATAACTGAAGGGACATTTCTAATGTGGGACAGAAGAAAGCTAATCTAACACAGTTCAAAAGTAGAGACCATCAATTGTCATCCTGATACATGTTTCTCCATTAAAGGTTCAAAATATACTTTGACAACATTATCTGTTTACTTTTGGGGTAAAACAACGGAAACCTGCTTAGTGCAAGTATGCAGTTTGACCAACTATTAAAGGACAGTCCTCCGATTTAGCCTAGACAATCTTATTACCTTAAAAGGTATATCTGAAGTTATTGTGTTTGAATCCAGAGAAACACATCAATTGCCTTTTTTCTGCTGAGGAGAACAACTCAAAGTTATCGATATTTCTCTGTAGATTCATGAGCATTACACAAAGTCAGTTGATCCAAAAATGATGTGTATGGGATTATAGCTACTTTAAAGGGTTTTACACAAATGAGATAGTGTTTTAGCAAAAGTTGACACTTTACTCACTTTATATGAAACATGAACTTATTGTTATCACAACGTTTTGACAGGTTATTGACTAAAAGTTATAAGCACACTTATCACTATCACATTGAAAATAAGAATTAGGAAACTTCAATCCTAATCATTAATACTATAGTCAAAGTTTAGTCACATTTGTTTTGGTTATAGCTAAACCATACTTTCTCATTTTAATTTTGTATTTTCTCATAAAGGTATATTCAGTAGGAAGTCGTAAACATATCTGCTGGTTAAGCTGACTGTGTTACAGAATGGTGAACATGGAAACCAGTGGTAAATCAAGATAAAACATAAATACAAATGATTAGACAAAGATGTTTGGAGATATATTCTGATGTCTCTATCTTTGGTTTAACAGTATAACTTCACTTCTTAGCTTGTGCACAGTCAGCTCTGTAAGTATCATCAAAAAGTCCAAGAGAGCAGCACATGTAACGCTCCTTTGGAGGAGGCCAGACTTTGTTTGTTGTGTGAACTCTGTGACATTGAGAATGACGTTCACTTTATCACATTTTTAGAATTTTTTTATAAGGACTTATGAGCTACTTTTAAATTAAATGAACTCCGTTTATGTTCAATTATTTCAGCTGGATCACTACGAAAAAGTTTGGCTTTAGGGAATCTTTTTGTACCTGATTCTATCTGCAAATCTTCGGAAATCCAGAAATTGACATTATTATTCAGATGTTCATTGTCAAATTTCAGACGGGCCTTTCATGAGCCTTCTCCAGCAGGGGGGCCTTCAGGCGCTGCAGGATTTGATCCATTATGGTGTAGTGGGTAACCAATAGTTTTGTCCTCTCACGTGGAACATTTACAAAAAGGGAAGATGAAACGTGAGGGACAAAATATAAAGGGGAAGACCCCACACAAATAATTCTCTGAGCACAGCGACCACACTTCAGAGGCTCCGCCCACTGATCTCCGACCTTGTCAGGCAAGGGATTGAACATTCAATCAATGAAGAACACAGAATGACTAAATATAAAACTCAGAATTTGTGTGATTATACTAAATGATTTACAAATAAACCCCACTGCATATTTACAACTGTTACACATATACACAACGGAGCCGTAATGTTTTCATTCATTGTAAAGCAATTGTGTTGAAATGTGCTATATAAATAAAGAATAAGATAAGTGGTTAAAACACGCTGGTATAGCAGATGTAAGAATGAAAAAAGCACAGTGTGTTACAAAGTGAGTGACAACAAATCTGAACAACCAAAACTCAGTCTGTAGGTACTACGGGGTCTCCATGTCCAAAATGGGGTCTGAATTACGCCGTATCATGATTTCTGCGTCCTGTCTTGAACACTGACACAGTTATGTTGCTGGTGCAGTGATGACCTACCATCCAAATGATACGAAACATCCGGGTTTTGAGTCATTGGACTTCCAGAGCAGGCCACTTGCGAGACGTTTAACCTTTTCAGGGGGGAGAAAGAGGAAATGAAACCTTGCACATCATGTAAGAATTTGTTTGGTTTGATAAGAGATACATATACAGCTAAAACGTTTCCCTATGGCAACTGTGCTGAGGTTGAAAGTGTGAGCAACTTGTTTAAAAATGATACAGAAGTTAGGGAGCAAGCACGACCAAATCCTGAGAAGTTCAGATGAAAACAGGAAGATGGCTGCAGAGAGGGTCAGACTCAGGACATATCTCAGGGAATGTTTGCACGAAGGATTTACACGGGATATTCAATTCTACAACCCACAGTTGTAGAATTGATTTGATTGAGTTGATGATAAGAAAAGGGAAAAGATTGAATATATTGATAGGTATAATTGTTATGGTCCTTTTTCATTTAGTGACCAGACAGATCTCTTTTGATATTAGTCACAAGAACTTTAACTTACAAATGATCTCACTTGAATCCTCTGTGTTGTGAATTTATTTATGTGGAAATCAAATACATCATGCTTTATATTTGCTACTTGTTATGTGTAACAGTAAATATATAAATGCAAATATTTGTCAACTGTCTGAATGAAGCATGCAGGCAATGATGTATTGATCATGTTGTTAACAATACATTCTAATAACGTAAACTAAGTTTCATACATTGTTTGGTTTTTTTCTCCTGCCACTTCAAGTGATTCTTTGCTAGAGAATAATAAGTACTCCAATATCATCTCATCTATCCTTATTGTTATCTATGGTCATTGGGTCTTGAAGTCATTGACAAAATATTTGAAGATATCTCAAGACTTGAGATTCTCAGGTGAAGCTTATCCATAATGTTTAAAATGTGTTCAACTTGCCAGTCTCAAACAATACAAATGTTGCTAGCCCTTAACTTCCTCTTTTCACTTGTTGCATGCCTGGACAGTTTCCAAATAACTGAAGGGACATTTCTAATGTGGGACAGAAGAAAGCTAATCTAACACAGTTCAAAAGTAGAGATCATCAATTGTCATCCTGAAACATGTTTCTCCATCAAAGGTTCAAAATATACTTTGACAACATTATCTGTTTACTTTTGGGGTAAAACGACGGAAACCTGCTTAGTGCAAGTATGCAGTTTGACCAACTATTAAAGGACAGTCCTCCGATTTAGCCTAGACAATCTTATTACCTTAAAAGATATATCTGAAGTTATTGTGTTTGAATCCAGAGAAACACATCAATTGCCTCCTGGTCAAACCAATCTTTAAAATCTCATTCAAACTCTTGTGAGGCTTTTTTCTGCTGAGGAGAACAACTCAAAGTTATCGATATTTCTCTGTAGATTCATGAGCATTACACAAAGTCATTAGATACAATATGTGTATGGGATTATACTTTAAAGGTTTTTACACAAATTAGATAAGTTTCCACTTTATATGAAACATGACCTTATTGTTATCACAACGTTTTGACAGGTTATTGACTAAAAGTTATAAGCATACTTATCACTATCACATTGAAAATAAGAATTAGGAAATTTCAATCCAAATCATAAATTCTATAGTCAAAGTTAAGTCAAGTTTCATTTTAGTTATAGCTGAACCTCACTTTCTCATCACACTCTGATTTTAATGGGAATTTGCTGATTAAAGGACTATGCAGTAAGAAGTCTCATATTAGAAAAATAGAGAGTTACACAAAGGACAATCATGTAAATAATTATTGATTTAGTTGTTTGTCAGGGCACTTGCCGTAGACATCTTCTTTATCTGCTGATGAATTGTATGTTTAAACAATAGCTCACGACAGGCCGTGGTGTATGGTCATTATATCACAGCTAAGGGTCGTGGTTTTATGCAATTATAAAACAGCTTTTGTCTGTGTGAGTACTCCGTTTGAAAACCTTTCTTGTTTTCTGTTCTTTGTACCTTCATTCTGCAATGAGATACACAACTGGAATGACTGCACCTGCCCTCATTAATGAACAAACATTCCCTGAAAACCAACAACGCTGGTATTGTTTTCAGTTTGTGAGGCTGTGCGTGTCTTCATAACAAATTGTGCTTCATGGAACATACTATTCACATGCTGTACAAGGAACTATCACATAAGTGGTTTTGAGTATTTGCACGTCTGTCTGTGAACAGGTTTTGTCCTCTCACGTGGAACATTTACAAAAAGGGAAGATTAAAACGTACCTGATGACAACAGATATAACAAATCAGTATTATATTAGGTATCCCTCACAGTGACTCCTCTCACATGGAACATTTACAAAAAGGGAAGATGAAATGTGAGGGACACTATATAAAGGGGAAGTCCCCACAAAAATAATTCTCTGAGCACAGTGACCACACTTCAGAGGCTCCGCCCACTGATCTCCGACCTTGTCAGGCAAGGTATTGAACATTCAATCAATGAAGAACACAGAATGACTAAATATAAAACTCAGAATTTGTGTGATTATACTAAATGATTTACAAATAAACCCCACTGCATATTTACAACTGTTACACATATACACAACGGAGCCGTAATGTTTTCATTAATTGTAAAGCAATAGTGTTGAAATGTGCTATATAAATAAAGAGTAAGATAAGTGGTTAAAACACGCTGGTATAGCAGATGTAAGAATGAAAAAAGCACAGTGTGTTACAAAGTGAGTGAAAACAAATCTGAATCCAAATTATTAAAGCATATAATCATACTCACACTTATTCTTTCTGTCAATTCTTCTATTTATATAGTTGCTTTTCCCTAAAATCATCCTGAA